AGCGCGGTAAGTATAGACAAGCCCTCTATGGACCTAAGTTTAGTCATAACTAGTGACAGCAAAAGGGATGATAGAGCAGAATACAAGAGTTGACAGATCATGATTACTTACGTTTATGTATACAAAAAAAAAACTAGAAACTTTAAAGAGATTTTGATTTATTACTCTAGATGGCAACACACCACTGTTTAGAAAACCAGGTATGTAAGGTTCTTTCTTCTTCGAGATGCATCCAAGCATTCTAAATGTTAACTGTTCTAACTGTGAGCCCAGCACTTTTTGACCCATAATCCAGGACCCTGCTACCCTCTACAGAAGAATCAGCTTACAGCAGAAGTGAAGACATACTCCCATCTTTTCTCAGAACTGTGTCAGTGTGGGTAATAAGAGTTGTAGCTGCTCTACACCTCAAGATCAGACCCAATATCCTGCAGCTATTCCTCACCCACAATTTGCGAGGAGCACCAATACATTGCATCAATGATTGGAGTAGTTCAGTCTTCATACCCATTAAATCCCAATGACGTTTGATTAGCTGACATGGCTATTTAGGTCACATCACAGTTTATTTCTAAAGCGATGCATACTGAAGGTCATTAGTACTGTGTTAAAAGAACACAGCATTCCAAAATTTAGACTGCTACTGAATCTAGTTCTGCATGGCACACAGTTTTGTAACTTACAGAAGTGTTCTTCCAGAAGAGAGACGTTTGTGAAGTTAGCATAACCACTAAAAAGCACACTTACATGTTCATAAATATATATACACACACACTACTGTACCTGATGTAATACAGGCAGTGCTTAATTGTAATGAAAGAGGTGCTGGGTCTCAAGCAATTTTTTTTTTACAGTCATAACGGCTGTGGCAAGCCTAAAGGTGCCAGGGCTCAGCCCCGGCACAAATTAAGAACATAGGAAGTGAGAGACTTTTGAAAGTCAGTAAAATACAGAAGGCCAATTCCGCAGTGATTTAAGCACAAATGTGGGCCCTGGATTATACCAGCCTTCCCTGGTTGATACTGGAATTATGAAAATCAAAGATGTTTGAACCTGAATGTTACCCTAAATTTAAGTGGATTTGTTAAAGGAAATCTAGGACCCAAATTCAGAGGAGGGTTTATCATCTTCTAAGAAATACAGTACACAAGAGTCATCTGGAAGAAGGCATCCAAAGCAAATGGAACCACCAAAAAATTGCCTATAAATATGTTTATGAATAATATGCTCATATAAGTCACTAGGAGAAGGAAACCGAAATAACCTATAGCTCAGCCATTACCAGAACATCTGCGTCGTGTTTCCTTTGGAGGTAAAACAGTTGTAAACAAGAACTGGGAAGTGTGAAACTAGATGTATATGGTGTGATAAATACTCCTATCCTGCTGCTCTTGCCCGAAGAGCATCTTTAAGTACAGGCTTAAAATATCTTTTAAGAGGACAATAATGATTTAAAACACTTTTCTAAATTTAAGTATATTAAAATGTGGTGTTTTAGTATCACCTCTTTAAACTGATCTTTATTAAAAGTGGTGCTCCTAAAGGGCAAAATACACACTAGTAATTACATAATACTGCAGCATCAGTGATACAGCCCAATTAGCCTCAGGAAAACCTCCACAAAGATGCTGCCATTTCATCCACTCCTACACATTACACCAAGGCAGCGTGGCAGCATTTTATGCTCTGAGAAAGCTTTAATAAATACTTTCCACTTGATTTTTTGCTGTTCAATCAGCTTGACATTTGTCTATTCACAACACTATGGTAATGTATTAAGGGTGGAGTTTTTTCACTTAGTGAAAACCCTAAAAGCAAAAAAGTCGGGAGCAGCATAGTTTACACACTGCCAAATTCAGCTAATTTTTCTATCAGCCTAACACACTTCTGATCATCCTTATGCATAAAGCATAGCAAGCAAACACTTGGTAGCCGGTGCCACATGCAAGGTCTGCAACTCAGAACAAGCCCTACTGCAGCAGTGAAACTGAAAAGCATGAGGGCTGGGGAAAAAAATAGGGAAACAGTTCAGGACCTGATCCTTCCCTTTCATCCCCACAAATCATAAAGCAAGGCATCGGAGTCCGTGCAACAGTTATCAGGATGAAGGGAAGAGAAAGCATGTAAAATATTGACATCATCTAAGTTTGTAAACACCTAGAAATAAAAGCCTATGCAAGTAACCCAGAGAATAATAAACTATTTTTATTTAAGAATGATATGGTACCATGAGACAGATGGCACCAAAGGGAAGGTGGCTAAAGGCAATTGTTTTTGCCTGTCAGATTTTCCAATTCCTGTGTTTACTCCTCAGTATGTACATTTTAATCTGAAACTCCCTTCAGGTGAGGGGAATGAAAGACAGAAGCATTCAGCTGACTCAGCAGCACTCTAGAGTTTGTCCTACATGACATCTTTCATCTGCTGAAAGGG